TCTTACCTTAATACTTTTATGCATAAAATAATAAGACGAATTAATTGATATAAAGAAAACACATAGTTGCTTTCAAGAAAAAATATGTAGTTTGCAACATGCAACTGCATACTTTTTTTTAAAACCAATGTGTTTTCTTTATACCAATTTATTTGTCTCATTATTTTATGCATAAAAGTATTAAGGTAAGATTCCCAAAAATTGAATGTTTTACAAGATATTTTGTATTTTATGTCAAAATACTGTAATTTACAAGCCTTAACTCGAAAAGTACTTAATGAAAAATAATTTCATTATAGTGTTTTAAAAAGCTCTTGACACCAGCTATTAGATTTTGGAATCAAAAATAGGGGTTTCTATTTAAAAAACCTAACCTAACCTTGAAATGACCTTGAAGGTCAAGCTCAAGGTCAAATTAAAGGTCACCGTTGAATTCCTCGTTGAAAATTACTTCAGAAATGACCTTGACCTTTTTCAAAAATACCTTACATGAGAAAATATTCAGCCGTCCCGGGACTTAATTGACACCCTGTATATACATATATATGTCTTTATCCTAACATAAAAACTGCTTGTTCAGCTAACATCAAGCCTATATCAACTTATGAGTGAAAGAGGATTTTCTAAATAATGCATATATAATAATATTATTAAAATTGAATGTGCAAAAGGGAACAAAGCAGCAATGTTATAATTGGAAGGAACGACATCGAGCATCGAGCAGCCAACGAACATAACCAAAAATTATTATCACATGCATCATACATACGAGGCCCATTATTAACATTGACTTCCCGGCAAACAAAAATGTATTAAGTGGGATTGCCGGGAATTCAATTAACAATTTTCCAAATTCCATTTTGTAAAAAAATGGAATTAGAATGATCATCCAATTCCATTTTTAATAAAAATGGGATTCGGAAAATTGTTAATTGAATTCCTGGCAATCCCATTTCAATTCCTTACTACATTTTCGTTTACAGGGTTATAAATAACTACATAACAAATATCAAATTTCAAATTGGTATATCCATATTTGATGGGATATTTGTTTGTATAGACGATTGTACCGCAGAATAAATCAGAATTAAACAAATATTCTGTTGAACCCAAGTTGAAAGAAACAATATAAATTCTTGATGTAATTATATTATTTGATGTTAATAATATTCGCTTACCTTGCTGTTAGATTTTTCGCAAATGCACTTTCTGTTCTTTTTTTCTGCACGCACTAAATAACAAAAATACGATATTCTCGCTTGTTCACACTCACCAGAATGGAATAACAATTAAGAATAATGGCATAAAGAGCGAGGAATGTATAGGTTATAGATTGCAGGACTGCAGCAGTTGGCATCAAGTCGACTGTAAAAGTCGACAGACAGTTGACTAGAAAAAGTCGAATCACAGTCGGCAATATAGATTGCAAGACTGTAGCAGTTGGCATCAAGTCGACTTCAATAGTCGGCAGATAGTTGACTGGAACAAGTCGACTTACAGTCGACAAACAGTCACTAATGTTGCTTGGGACGTCTTCTCACCAGATCCTGTTCGCTGCTAGACAGCGAACAATCCTGCTGCGAGCGTTCTCGTAGTCCGCCGAGAGTACTCGGATTCTATGCCTTCTTCCAGGTACACGAGCGTCCTCGGTACCATTTCTATCTCCGATGCGAGCGTTCTCGTATACCCGTCGAGCGTACTCGGCTCCTCCAGGCATCGATCTTCGTATATAGGGCATTCCTTTATACTTAGTCGGATCGCCGCTCTAAATCCGCCTTCGTACGAGCGTTCTCGTACGTCCGCCGACCAGATTCGGCCTCAAAGCCTCTAGTACGAGCGTTCTCGTACTCCCGTCGAGCGTACTCGACGTCATGGTCCTAATTTCACGTTGCCGCGCACCGGGATTTATCCGCAGAATCCATCCGGCGGGCAAACTGCGTCGACCAATCCGCGCCGTCGAGCGACCCGTCACGATCTACGATCGAACGGACTCGCGGTACCATCACGAACGCACTCGCCGACGAGCGTTGCGTTGTACCAACCGCTACGACACGATCATCCGCGCTTGCGCTCTCGCTGATCGCATCAAGACGCCTCACGTCAAACTTAAATAATTGTTTCACCGTTGCCGATACTTCAGATCAAGAGACACGGCAGTGTCTCGCGTCAAGTTCACGCGCAGCGCAAGACCGACCGTGTATCTTTACGCGAGACCGAAAGTTGAGACGAGCCGAGATTATCGGATCTCAGTAATGCCTGAGCCGATCGATTTAAAAATAGGCTCAATCGATAGCGCTTACCCAAAATATATAATAAAAGTATGCTTGTTTTTGCTCTATATGCTGTATAAATAAAGATATTAAAGTCTAAAGTCGAAATGTCATGAAAACTATGAAAATTATTTCAGTCGTCTGGGATGTACTTTATAAATTCTTGCCGATAGATGGCTAGTATCTCAGGGCTGCGTTCCAAAACTTTACTCTATTAACTTTATGAAACCCAGAGTAGTGGGGAGAAGAGTAAGCGAGAGTAAGTTACCAAGTCGAATAGATTTTGAACGCAGTAGAGTGAAGCAAAATGGCGGAACAAAATAAAAATAGTTTAATAAGTGTCATTGCTATTTGCAATGAAATATTTACAAAAAATATTTTAAATTTAGATCTTATAAGCAAAAGCGAAAGTGAAAGCGAAATGGGTGAATTATATTATATGGTTCAAGTTTCTCAATTAAGAGGAAAACGAAAAAAAATGTTCGCATAGAAGGTTATGTAGATAATGTAATACCCAGATTTACAACACATCATTTTAAAGAACATTTTCGTATGACACCACGCTGTTTTCATTTATTAGAAAACAATTTAAGTTTAATGTTATCAAAACGTAATAAAATAGGAAGATCCTATATATCACCGAGAGTACAGTTACTCGCAACTTTGTGGTTATTGGCGACTCCTGATTCTTACAGGTTGCTACAGAGTATGCATTTGTAAATGATAATTTTTATAAGATATTCAATAGTGAAATATATCTATTGTTTATAGATCAGTGGGACTTAAATTTAATTTGGCAAAGTCGTCATTAAATCATTGTGTGCGACGTGTTGTGCAGGTTCTGTGTAATATCTCAAATAATGTGATCAAATGGCCATCTGTAAATGACATGAATACTGTTACTGAAAAATTTAAACGAATAGCAGGTCTTAACTATGTTCTTGGTGCTATTGACGGTACGCACATTGAAATTCCAGCACCATCTGTAAGTATTTTTATAGTTTTATTTTTTTTAAATTTAATATATTCTTTGATTAATGAAAATATGAATTGATTGTAGGTAGACACGCGATCCTATTTAACAAGAAAATGCAGATATGCTGTAACTTTACAAGCAATATGTAATGCAGATTTATATTTCACTGATTGTTACGTTGGTTATCCTGGATCTGTGAGTGACGTCAGAGTTTTCCATAATTCAGACTTTTGGCACAATGTCAACAGAAATTATCGCAATTTTTTCCCTAATGAAGAATATATTATAGGAGATAAAGCTTATCCTTTGTATAAATGGTGTTTAACAGCTTATAGAGATAATGGTCACTTGTCACAGGTAAATTTGAAGAAACTATAATGTTAAGATATTGAAATTAATATATTAAGAATCACTTTCATCAAACTTTGTATGTGTTATTGTTATTATATGTACTATTATTATATGTACTATTTTTATATGTTACAGGTCGAAAATAATTTTAATCATATATTATCTCAAACGAGGCAAACGATAGAACGTGCCTTTGCATTATTAAAAGGCCGATTTAGACGCCTGAAATATTTAGATATGACGAGAGTGGATTTAATATCACAGACAATTTTGGCTTGCTGTGTTCTTCATAATATTTGTTTACAAAATATTGATGACATTGAAAATTACATTTTAGAAGGTACAGAAGAAAATCAAAATATAGAAATTTTTGAAAGAGAAGAGCAGCATAGAGATCATGATAACGAGGGTGCAGCAAAACGCAATTATTTAGCAATATGTTTATATAGAGAACGAATATAATTGTTATTTAATATAATACTGCTTTTTTAAACATAACTCATAATATTGCAATTTTTTAAACATTACTCATAATACTGCAATTTTTTTTAATATAACTCATAATACTGCAATTTTTTAAACATAACGCATAATACTGTAATTTTTTAAACATAACTTATAATATTATATAAATTATATTAATAGTATAACACGCGAACATTAAATACTAATATATGTTATGATTTAAATGAACAATAAAATATTATTTAAGATGCTTCATAAATTTGTAACTTATAAAATAAAAAGCAAAAGTGTTTAAACGTAAAGAGAAGATGTTTATAATTTATCCAATAACTTGCTCATTAATTGCTTGTAAGTTTCTATAGCTTCTTTTTGATATTCTAATCTTTCTTTATGCCTTTTTTCTTTCGCTTTTTCATTTTTGTCCATGTATTCTGTTAATACATGCAATTGTTTTTCCATTTTAGTTTTCTTTGGAGGAGGTACTATGTCCTCATTTTCTCTATCAGATCTTTGTTCTTCGTCAGTTGAAATAGATACAATTTTTTGTGAAAGATTTGATGCAATGGCTACAGGCTGCACAATATGAGATTTTCCATAAATTTCTTCCATTTCATCATAGTATTTACATTTCTTAAATGACGCTCCTGACTTTGAATTATGATCTTTTGTTTTTATATAACTTTTCCTTAGATTTTTCCATTTATTTTCAGTTTGTTTTGCAGTATATATATAACCTTTTTCTTTTAAACAATCCGCAATCTTTTTCCATACAACCTCATTTCTTATTTTATCATTCTTGAATAATGTAAGATGATCTTTATATAAAGAAATGAGAAGCATAATTGTTGGATGTTCCCATGTAGCAGAATGTTCCCATGTAGCTATAACAAGCAATGAATACAGTATAATTATAAACATATAAAAAAGTATAAGAAAAAAAAATGTGACATATTTAAGGTAATTAATATATTTTTTTTGCTTACTAGTATCTTTATTAGAATCTTTACTAGAATCAGTACCATCTTCAATATGTTGTAAAAAATTATGAGAAGTTTCATTCTCTTTTAAATCTGAAAAAAAAAAAAAAATATATATATATATATATATGTAAACAATATAATATTTAATCTTATGATTGTTAAATAAACAATATATAAAAATGTTATAATAAATAGTGACAAATCGTTACAAAAATTAATTCATTAGAAAATTAATTAGAAGTATGATTAATAGATTTATTTTTCTGTTGGCATATAGCAAAATGTAGCTATAATAAGTAATGAATACAATACAATTACAAACATATAAAAAGTATAGTAATAAAATATGTGACAGTTTCAATTTATAAATATAATTTTTTTTAGCTCACCAGCATCTTTATTAGAAGCTCTGCTAGAAGCAGTGACATCTTCAATATTTTTTTTAAAAAAATTTATCAGAAAGTTAATTGTTTTCATTTTTTTCTAAAATCTGAAAAAAGAAATACATACATACATACATACATA